CCAAAGCCCCACTGAAGCAAGTCCTGCTTCACAGGGGTGTCTCCTGCACAGCAGCTCTCCCACTGTAGTCACAGATGGTCCTCACAGCCAATTAGTCTAGAGGTCAATTCCTCCCAGTGACACCAACAGCAATCAAGTCTCAACTACAACCAGACTGTGCTCATAGCACACAAAGGGGTGCACTTAGAACGCGCAGCTCAGGTGACTGGGGAGTCTGACCCACTGGACCCTATAGGACACCTAGCACACAAGGCCACTCTACAAACTTAAGGACACATAGCAGCTCTACGCAATACATAGGGAAGCATCCAAAATACAGATACAAAGGAACATGTCACAAATGAAAGAAATGGAAGAAAGCAAAATACTGGGTATAGAATTCAAAATCATGGTTATTAGGTTACTCAATAATTTTCTAGAAACCTCCAAAAAAAATGGAAAAGGACTAGTCAGAAATTAAACATACACTAACTGAAATAAAGAATAATATTCAGGATTCAACAGTAGAATAGTAGATTCTAAGAATCAAATCAATGATTTGCAATATGAGGAAGCAAAAAACACCCAATCAGAAGAGCAAAAAGAAAAAATAACCCAAAAATATGAAAATAGTGTAAGGAGCCTGTGGGACAACTTCAAGTGTTTCAGCATTCACATTATGGGGGGGTGCCAGAAAAAGAGAGAGAGCAAGTATTAAAAACCTATTTGAAGAGCCGAGACCGGTTTGGCTCAGTGGATAGAGCGTCGGCCTGTGGACTGAAAGGTCCCGGCTTCGATTCCAGTCAAGGGCACGTACCTTGGTTGCGGGCACATCCCCAGTAGGGGGTGTGCAAAAGGCAGCTGGTCGATGTTTCTAACTCTCTATCCATCTCAATTCCTCTCTGTGTAAAATCAATTTAAAAAAAAAAAAAAAAAAAAAAAAAAAAAAAAAAAAAAAAAAAAAAACTATTTGAAGAAATAATGACAGAAAACTTTCCCTACCTGTTGAAAGAAATAGACTTATAAGTCCTGGAAGCACAGAGAGTCCCAAACAAGAGGAACCCAAGAGGACCACACCAAGACACATCATAATTAAAATGCCAAGAGCAAAAGACAAAGAGAGAATCTTAAAAGCAGCAAGAGAGAAGCAAAGGAATACCCATATGACTGTCAGCTAATTTCTCAAGAGAAATTATGGCCAAAAGTGATATTCAAAGTGATGAATAGCAAGAACCTACAAACAAGATTACTCTACTCAACAAAGCTATCATTCAAAATTGAAGGTCAGATAAAGAGCTTCACAGACAAGAAAAAACTAAAAGAGTCATTACCACCAAGCCAGTATTATATAAAATGTTGAAGGGTATTCTTTAAGAGGAAGAAAAAGAAAAAGATAACCAATATGAACAACAATATGACAACAAATACATACCTATCAACAACAGCATCTAAAAATAAAAATAAATGAGTAAGGAAATTAGTAATGACCAGAAACTGGTGAATAAAATAGAATCAGAGGCATGGGAATGGAATGATTCTCAGATGGAAAGGGTGTGGGGGTATGGGAAGAGATTAAACCAAGATCTCATAGGCACATATGCATTACCTATGGACACAGACAATAGGATGGAGAAGGCCTGGGTGGAGGGAGGCATTGGAGGGGGGAAAAAGAGAGACATCTGTAATAATCTCAACAATAAAAATGTTTTTGAGAAGCCAAACGTTTCTGTTATGCCATTTCCACAAGAGTGGTCCCCCCAATCTCCCACCACAATTCTCCCTGACTAGGCTGCCTCATTTCCCTTCTGCAGCTCAGGCTTCAGGACAGATGACAGCTTGACCTCCATGTGGCCTTTTAACTGGTGATGGAGTAAACAATGGCGAAGTTGACTGGGTTTTGAGGAGTCGAAAGAAAATGGAAACTCAAGAACGTCAAACATGTCTTGCTCGGTGAGAGATTCAGCTCACACTTAATGTATGTGAATAAACATTCTCTTCACATGGGGCAGGGAAAACCAAATATGGAAACTCTGATGGCGCCATATCTGCAAAAGGCAGAGGCCCTGTTGTCCTGGTTTCCTCCGAGAGATTTTTCAAGACAGAAGTGATGTTCTAGAAACTCAGATTCAAGCCAGGAAACACAACATTTATCATCCTGCTCCTCTGTCCTTCTCCATCCTACCAACGCCAAGCTGGGTAATATGCATTATTCAATGACTTAAACTCTCTCAGTGCTCCATTTGGCTGTCCTACACCCTCTTAAAGCCCAGAGTCACTGTCAGAAGTCAAAGCTCATTAATGCTGGAACCTAAATTCAATGCCCTTGAGAGACAAAATGTAGTTCTAGACAAAGCCTTCCGGGCTCTGATTAATTCATCATGACTTCTGGGTTCTCACAGGCCAGGTCTCACACTCAGGGTCACATTTGCTATGAAAAGACACTTGGAGGAGGGAGGGATCCAAAAGCGAATGGATAAAACCTGGTCGGGGCAGAAGAATCTCCTTTACTCATCAAAGATATGCAGATGCACCAGTGGTGTCTGAGAATGACCCAGCCACGTGGAGTGTGTCATGAAGCCAAGGACTGAAAAGGCAATGGAAGAGCACCGTGGAGACGTTCTAGACGTGGCCTTGATCTTCTCTCAGAATCATGGACTGTTAGGACTGGAGATTATTCGCTCCCATGGCCTCATTATACCAAGAGGAGAGAGATCCAGTGAGGGAAAATGAGTCTGTTAAAGTCCCATAGCAGTTCTGAAATTATAACCCCAATGGCCCTCCCTCCTCCCCCCTGCTTTCCTCTCACTGTCCAAGGAAAGGTCCATAACCTTCCAGGCATCAATCAGTACAAAGACTGAAAGATAACACATCCCTGGGGTAGACAGCAGGCAAAGGCACTGCTCTTCAAAGGCACTAGGAAGGCTCTGGTTTGTGCTGCTCAATGGTTAGAGTGTCAGCCGTGCACCGAAAAATCACGGGTTCTATTCCCAGTCAAGGTCACATACCTGAGGTACAGGTTCAGACTCCAGCCCCAGGTCAGGGCATCTGCTGGAGACAATGTCTCTCCCATATAGATGTTTCTCTCTCTTTCTCTCTTTCTCTCTCCCTCCTTCCCTTCCCCACCTTCTCTTCTACTCTGTCTTAAAAAATAAAAAATAAAATAAAAAAATAAAAATCAATGGAAAAACTATCCTCAGGGGAGGATTAACAAAACAAAACATAAAAAGCACTTGGAAGGCCAAGTTCACTTCTGGTATCCCAACTACCACAACCCATCCTAGTTCCTACAGACCTGATCCCAAACACCTGTCCTGTCTGGGCCAAGGGGACAGAGAGCATTAGTAGGGATTTAGAATGAAAATTTTTGACATTCTCCAGGATAACGTATGAATGCCTGATACTAAACTTGTACCCACATATCTTATCCCAACACACACACACACACACACACACACACACACACACACACACACAGACACTTTTCCTCTGAACCAAGGAAAAGACAGAATAATGTAGAGAGGAGTCCTTCGAAAGATTCATGAGCATCTGAAGCACCAAGCCCAGAGTTCTTGAAATGAAAATTTTGATTCAGTAGATCTGGCCTAGCGACTGAGATTCCACCCTTTCACCACCTCCCACGTGACCCTGGGGCTGGTACTGAGGCCCACACACTGAGTAGCGAGGGGCAGACATTCCACAATCTTGGAACCAAACAAATCGGGGTTTAAATTCTGGTTCCTCCACTTAGGAGCTTTGTGATTCTTGGACTGGGTTTCCTAACCTCACACTGCCTCAACCGCCTAGTCTCTAAAATGGAAACAAGATTACCTAAGAAACACCTGATGATGATTGCATAAGATAATGAGGCGAAGATTTTAACAGGCATAGTATAATAAGGGCTTGATGAATGTCCCTTGCTGCTGCCTCTAAGATTCATGAAGGCAGGGACATCTGTCTGGCTACCTGCCAAAACCACAATGGCTAGGACATAGTAGGTGCTCAATGGATGTTTGTGAATGAGTACATGTATCTCCAATACACCCGCCCCCCGAGCTCAATATTTACACACTCCTGTGGTTTTATGGCTTTCTGTATGGAAACAAAAAGCATAGAACACCAGCACACTCTCACCAGAACAAACCATTGTCTCATAGAATCAAATCCAACACTAACCACGCGGCATAACCATGGACAACATATCATTTGTGATGGCTCTGTGTATACTTGGGGGAAATGCCTTCACCGTAAACAAATACAGACAACATCAGTCCGAAGCCTGTACATCACGAAGAGAGATAACTGCCTCGATCATTATTTATGCGGTTGTCTGAATGCAGATGTTATAACAACTTAATTTTCAATGTAGGTTGATTTCCAAGCCAAAGATAGAATTGCAAAGGCAGTCAAAACAAGCCCTGTTTAGCAAGGCTACTTTGGATAAGGCCATGGGGGCAGTAACACAGGATCTCACATATGCACACACACTGGCTCGGGAAAAATTACAGACAAAAGAACTGTTAACAAATGGTAGAGCTTAATCTTCTAAAGCAAAGGCAGACAAATGAATAAATCCAAAATTCTTCAACAATCTCAGATGATCTTCAGACATCTCATAAAGTAAGCGGCATCGTTTACACAGATCCCGTTTCAGGGAGGTACTGTGTCTGAAGCATAAAGAAGAGAATACTATTGCCACCTACAGACAGAGCCAGCACTCCCTCGGCAAGAGTCCGCCAATGGTATTTCAGCGTGGGGGGAGGGGGGGGAATTCAACCAAGTCACCTCCCTCCAATCCCTTCCAAACCACCACGCCACATTACTTCATTTAGAATTACTTTCAAGCCATACAATCACGTCTAGTCATTCTGCCTCTTCATTATCATCATCCTATTTCTAATTTCCCAGAAACACTGCGCCATTAAACCACCTCCTCACACACTCTTGGAAAGCCGAAGGGAATGCGAGCCAGCGGATTTCACGCAGGCGAGGGCCCCCCCGAGTAGAAGCACAAATCTGCTTACCAGGTATGAAAGGGACCACCCGGAATATATCGGACAACCTGCTGTTGACTGGTTCGTAAGGGGAATCTTCCAGCAGATCATTTCCTAAAAACAACAGGAAGATGGGGCTCAGATCTGGAGCACAGACATATCCCAGGCCTGAATCTGAATTCTAATTATGTTATGATTGTGTAACAAAAGGATGCTGAAACTTTCAAAGACTTCAAATGCCTCTATTTGGCTCTGCTTGTTTTGTTTGTTTTTTTTTCATTCTCTCTGCCTTTGTTGTCCTGGCTCTCCCCAGAGTGCCATGAAAACACAGAAGAGCAGCCCAGCCTGATTTTGCCAGAACACTCTCCCACTTCTGCAAAGGAATGAGATCAGAGAGGAAGAAACCAGTGATGTCACGTGTCTCTCTCCCCCTCCCCTCCAGGAGCCAATGGGAGACAGGTGACTCAAAGGAGGCCCCCCATTCATTCCTTTGCTCCAGAAACATGGCATGTGGTCAGAAAGCAGGTACCCTAGCTGTTCCTCAGTCAGTGCTGGAAACTGGTTGTCATCAGTAGGTTCTGGAGGGAAGCGGTAGCTGACAGGCCAGTTCTGTGTATGACAAATTTCGGAGGTGACCTCTCCGTGGAGAGGGAACACAGGGGATGTCTGCGTTGGGTTTACACACACCAGCCACATCTGTCAAAGTGGATGTCTGTGGGCCTTGTCCCGCTCAGAGCCGCATCCATGTTAACCCAGGTTGAACCACACCAGCTGGTCCCAGACTCAACTAATCTAAGATGACAAATGGTTTTTCCCACATCAGCCTTTGATCAGTTGGAACGGGGGATGGGGGAGGGTAGAGATAGAATAGATTCTGCAGGACCTTTAACACTTCATTCTTTCTCTTCGGTCAGAATAGACCCAAGGACAGAATAAAGGGGGCATCTCCAGGGAGGACGCAGGGCCAGTCTGAATGATTATTCTGTGAAGCCAACTCTCCTTACAGTCAAGTGGCCCGTACCTAGGGCGGCCTTGGATGGGGTCCTTCTACTGGAAGCTCTGACCAGGTTTCAAAGAGGTCAGCGGGGGTTCCAGGGGGGGGGGGGGCCTCCTCACCCCATGATGGGTTTTCCAACAACCAGGCCCCAACAGTACAGCTGGGCAGGCAGCAACCGCCAGCTGCTGCAGCCCCTGAGGGAGGGCCCATGCACGGCCCTCACTCTGCAGCTGGGAGGAGGGTGAGGGATGAGGTCAGCCAGACCCAGGCGAGTGGCCCCGGCCAAGCCTGGAGGGTGGGGGCGGGCAGACAGGGGGCGGGCGCGTACCCTGCAGGCTCTGGTACATGCTCCAGTAGATGCGCAGGCAGTTCTTCTCCTTCTTCATGCCGCGCTTGCAGCGGCAGTTGTAGAGCGACTTCTGCTTGAGGGCCTCCATGGCGCTGCGGCACTCGTCCTTGGCCTCCAGGCCGGACGCGAGGCTGAAGTTGGTCTCCTTGCCCGCCACGCACTGCCTCAGCGTGCGGTACTTGGTGCTGCAGCTCTGCTCCTTCAGGCACTGGTCGCTGGCTTTCACGCAGTCCAGGCGGTCCCCGCCGCTCACCTCCGCCGACAGCAGCACGTCTGGGGGGCGAGGGGAGGGTGTGTGAGCGCGGCCAGGCGGGACCGGGGTCCCACCCCCGGGAGGGCGCGTGCCGGACCAGGCTTCTGGGGCGCCCTGCGGTGGGGGCCCCCCACTACCCCCGGGAGCCCGTTTTCCCGCCCTGGGACCTCCTGTTGCCCGGGTCTCCCCCCACCCAGTCCCGCGCCCTCCAAGACCCAGAGGCTTTGCAGGCTTTGCGGGGTGCCGGCCCGCAGCCCCGGGCAGACCGGCCCCAGCCCGGGCTCCAGCCGCTCGCCGGTCCCCCTCGCCTGAAGCCGGGGGATGGGGGGGAGGGGGGGGAGCAGGAGCGGCGGGCACCCGGCCCCGCGGCCCGCCCGGCGGGGAGCACGGGGATGCTTGCTGCTCCGGGAAAAAGTTTTCCCTCCCAAGTTTGTCTCCCGGCCCCGGGCACGCCTCCACCCCACCTGCCCGCCGCGCCCCTGCGAGCTCCCCGGGACGTCCCGGGGTGGCGGGTCCCAGGCGGGAGGGCACCCCCTTTATTCCCCGACCCAGGCCAGGTCATGGGAAACCACAGACATTCAGGACCCAGCACGGCAGCTGCGGGCCGGTGCGCGCCGACACCCCTCCCCAGCCAGAGGCTCCCAAGACTCAAGGAGCCCCCTCCCCAAAAGGGAATTTGCCTTCCCTCCACCCCCCCCCCGCACCCACCGCACCCCGCGCCCGAGGACCCCAGGGGAGACCCCGAGGGCCCGGACGCCGGCGGCAGCCTCGACTTACCCAGCAGCGGCAGCGCCAAGTACAGCGTCGCCAGGAACATGGTGCCGGCGCGCGGCTGGTCCCCCTTCGCCGAGAACGCCGACCCGCCGTCCGGTCCGGGGGCTCAGCAGGCAGCGGTGCCCGGGCGCCCGGCGGCCAGCTCCATCCAGGGGCGCTCCGCCGTCTGCCGGGCCGGGCCGGGGCGGGGCGGGGCGGCTCCGGGGCTCGGGGCTCGGGGTTCGGGCTCGGTCCGGTCCGGCCGCCTGGAAGGAGGGAGAGCGCGCTGTGCAATGAGCCCCGCGCTCCCCTCTCCCCGGAGCCTCCGCCGCCGCTCCGCCTCCTCCGCTCCCGCCGGGCGGACTCTCCGGACGGAGCCCGGCGCGGGGCCCACCCTCCCCGGTCCGGGCGCCGGGAGGGGTGCGGGGGGGGGGGGGGCGTGCGTTCCGGGGAGCCTCCCGCACCCGCGGGGGAGGGACTCAGAGGTCGGACGCGGCTCCCAAAGTCCAAGGGGAGTCTATCGGGTCCAAGGCTGGGCGCCGGCGGATCAATAAGAAACGTTACTTTCCCGGCGCGGAGCGCGGAGCGGCGCGGAGTCGCGGCTCCCGGCGGCGGCGGCTCTCCCGGCCCCGGCGCGGAAAGCCCTGCGCCCGGGAAGTTCGCCGCCCCCTCCCCGCGCCGGCTCGCTGGCTCCAGAGCCAGCCCTCCCCACCCCAGCCACCAATCGCCGCCCCCATCGCCGTGTCCCCTCCCCCCCCCACTCCCCTCCACCTCGGATCGCTTTCTTTCCGAGGCAACCCGGCGAGGGGGGACCGGCGTCCCGGCAGGAGCTGAGATCCGGCTGGGGCCCCACCCGGCGCGTCCTGGGCTCCCTCCCCGGCGCCGCGCACAGCAGCCCCGCGCCCCGGACCCGGTGCAATCGGGGCCACCAGCCCGGGCGGGCGCATCGCCCGCAGCCTCGGAGCCCGGAGCGGAGCGCAGGGCAGGTGCAGCCCCGCGCACACCCGCGAGCCCCAAAGTTGAGGGACGCCAGCCAGAGGGGGAGAGGGGTGTGGAGGGAAGGGGGGAAGGGGGGGTAGCGATAGGTCCCCAAACGGACAGAATGAGAAAACTCTCCAAACGCCACCAACCTGGACTCAGTGGAACCGTGTCCAGCTGCAGCAAGGCACCCGAGTATTTATTTCAGGGGGTGTCCCCGCCCCCTCCGCCCCTTTCCGGGCTCCCTGGTCCGCGTTAGCAGGAAAGATGCGGTCATCGCCGCGATCTCAGCGGATCTAGCGGGGCCAGAGGGTTTCCGGGCAGAGCCCCCTAGGGCTCCGACGCTGGCTGGGGACCTCAGCGGTGCCCGGGAGCTGCTCCGGGGATGGCAGGTTCGGAACCCGGATTTCTTTGCCAAGGGCCCCCCCCCGGCCTGCTCCTGCTCCCTCCGGACCGTGCCCCCTCGGGTGCCCGCCCGCGGGGACCCGCAGAGGAGCACACCCGCTGGCGATGGGACCCGGGGACCGACCCAGCCTGCGCGCTCCAAGCACACAGCGCCCTGCAGCCGGCTGCTGCGAGCTCTCTCTCTCTCTCTCTCTCTCTCTCTCTCTCTCTCTCTCTCTCTCTCTCTCACACACACACACACACACACACACACACACACACTCTTACGCCCTACTGCGATCAAACCAGACCTTTCTTCCAGACACAAAGTTTTCCCCCACGTCCCTCGCGGCTGTGACTCCAGACTTGGCGTGTCAAAGACACACTCGGACCCCGGCCCTGCGAGCCGGGATGGCTGGAGGCACCCACCCACTCGTGCAAGGCAATGCACACACTCTCACACACTCACACTCACACTGGCACACACAGCCTCTCGCCCTGGGTCCTGGGGCTCGAACAAGGAGACAAAGCAGAATCCGGTGCATCTAAACCCCCTGGGACCTGGCTTTGGGGAATGTATCAGCGGACTTCCGTATTGGCTGTTTCAAGAATAAATGTTAAAATGATTCATTTAAAAGCCAATCCTTCATTCACCCCAATTCCTGGGACCTCTCTCTCAGTCTAGTTCCCCTCTCCCCACTCCCCCCCCCCCATGCCCCCCTCCCTGCATGCTCAGGGGCTCCCAGGGCACTGAAATCTACATGAGGTCTAGACAGGGGTCTGGGGAGCAGCCTACAGTGCTGGGTGGAGGTCCTGATGCTCAGGGCTAGCACTGGAGATCCCTGGTGATGTCCAAGTTCCTATCTCTGGGAAACCCAGTTTAAATCGAGTCTGGGAAAGCCCAGCTGTCAGATCCGCAAACCCATCACACCAGACAATGGGCTGCGGAGCAGAGAAAACGAGCGCTCCTGGTGATGGAGGGGGGTTAATTGAAAAGGGCAAGGGCTTTGGTTGAAGTTGGAGGCCGGGGTGTAAGGGCAGGAGATGAGGAGGAGAAAGAGGAGGGATGCTTCGCTTTCCATTCAACTGCACCTCAGCCAGGCGCGCCCCGCAGCTGCCGCAGCGGCTCCAGTGTGTGCAGTGTGTTGTTGGGGAGGGAGGGTGTGTGCGTCTCGGTGCGCGCCCCCCAATCCCCGGGCGACCCCAGGGTCTATGCTCTTATGCGCGCGTTCCTCTGCGGCAGGGATGGGGAGATTGATGTCCTTACCCAGCACTAGCGCCCCCCCACTCTCCCTCTCCCCTACACACACACACAATTGCACCAAACGTGGATGTTTCTTCAGTGTATCAGTTGACACTTGGTTTCGAGTAAACAAAGCAGACATATGCCACGTTTTCTGGACAGATGGTTCAGACCAGTGGCCACTTAAGCCCTCTTTCCCTGGCGGTGGTAACAGGCTAAGTGACAGGGTGGACTGAGCAGGGAAAGTCATTAAATCTTGCGACCAGTTTCTTCACCTTAAAGAAGCTTCTTTCCAAATGTTCACACACGAGCCAGAGAAGTCCCAGGGAGATGGTTTCCGTGAGAGAAGCGCGGAATTAACGGTTCATCTGAAAAGTGTATTTCTTCATGGACACCCCAACATAAAACCCTCCTCTTCCGTTTTTCCATTTTACAAGTGGAGGTGAACGTCTCCCTTTGGAAAATCGGGAACTGGAATTCCAATGTCCGATGGATGGATTAATGTCTGTCATCGCTGAACACGTGTGATTTAATGGAATAAAATTTCATTTAAGGACATCAACCACATGTTTTGTGTCCTTTGTTAAGAAGGGACTTTGTGTTGCCACAATACCCCACAGGCATCTTTTAAATCAACATTGAGGAGGGTGAAATAAAAGTTCTCCAAAGGTAAAATATGAGACTCCCTTTAAAATATTTATAATTTCAAAAATATTTCAGGATTATTCACACATAATAGTCCTCATCACATTCTTACTGATGAACACAGGGCGATTTTTTTCTGAAAACTTTTTAATTTTTTTAAAAATAAATCATCAGCCACTGTAACCGTGTCACCAGGCAGGTGACTATTTCAATAAAATCAATTCAAATAAAGAAACTCGCTGAGTTTCAAGTGCTTAATAGCCACATGTATCTAGTGACCACCATACTGCGCAGCCCAAACAGTATGTCCATAGAACATGCCCATCATTGCAGGAGATTTCTACCTCCCGAGCAGAGCTGCACATAAAAAACAGCCACCCATGGCCAGTGGTTGGTTGAGCATTGACCTATGAACCAGGAGTTCATGGTTGGATTCCCCCATATGGCACATGCCCAGTTTGTGGTCTCCATCCCCAGTAGAGGGCGTAGAGGAAGCAACTGATCAATGGTTCTCTCTCATTGATGTTTCTCTCTCTCTCTCTCTCTCTCTCTCTCTTTCTCTCTCTCTCTCTCTCTCTCCCCCTCTCTGAAGTCAATAAAGATATATATATTTTTTCTTTAAATGTTAAAAAAAAAATGTGACTCATACTCTACCCTAACAATTTGTATAGTAGGAGCTAATAAGAAAAGAATCACTGCTTTACAACTATATCCATTATGTTCTAAAGGTGGAAAACTGGAATAGGAAGATAGACAGTATAAACTTACTGTACTAAGATTATCTCTGTTTCCTCGGAGCTAATCTGTTCCCAGGTGCATGAGATTGATCTCAGGATAAAAGATGATGTTGGAATATCAAACAGTATTAATAATTGTAAAAATCCATGCCATCTTCTGGGACATGTTTTCTCGGTGAGAAATGGGGTTTAATGCTACCGAATTAGCTTCAATCCACCCATAAGCATGTGAAGTGAGCAATTTTCTTGCACTTCTTGACGTGAGTGTATTTCCATAAGTTAACAGATGAGTCATGGTGAGAATGACAGTTTTATTCCACACGATATTTTGTCTCCTGCTTTCATTGCCTTGGCCTTATAACTATAATGCAAAATACATTCATTTTGCAAAATTATACTGCTCAAAAATCACTCAGGTTTCTGACGCAAACTAGTTCATCAAAGTATTTGACATTAGACAGTTTGACAAGCCTTCCTCTGCAGCTATACAAAACCACTTACTATTACCTAAAAGTGCACTGCTTCTCCTCCCTGCTGTTATTTCTTTGTGCATGCTGTTCCATCTGCCTACTGTGCCCTTCATCCTGATATTTGAAGATCCAGCAGAGCTCGCATGAGCCACGAAGGAAAGCAGAGACTCCTTGGGTCCGAAAGGATAGTTCTCAGCATTGGGCTCTCGTGGGCCCATAAGAATCTTCATTCCAGCTGTTGTCACACTGCATTCCAGCTACTTGCTATATCTGTCTCTCCTGCTGGAATGGGAGTTCCTTGAAGGCAGGAGATGTTCTTTTGTTGTCTCTTGAAGCCACAGCATTTAGACCGATGACGGATCCACAGTCACCCCAATAAATGTATATTGATTGCCTGGATAATGAGTGACGATGTTTCTCATTTTCCTCTGACACAATCATTCCACTGAAAGGTTTACATCAATCCTCTCTGCTATAGGAACAAGACTAAATATAAGTACCTCGTGCAATTACTGGTATCCCCAGTTCCAACCGTACTATCAAATATGTATTATTCCTTTGGGAACTTGACATTTACATTTTTTTAAACAAAACCCATTATTGTAAT